CAACAATATAACATATGAGACACAAGTATATATTGCTCAAGGCGATTTATTTTCTTATGCGTACCGGTTTATTTTTTTTCCTCCAATAGTAGTTGTGTAGTCGTAGTTTTTGTCTTTTGACACTGAAATAAATTATCATGGTTTACAATAACTATAAATATGAATTCTCAGTGAGAAATAACATCCAACGCTTATACAGAGCAGTATACAGAGTGATATACTAATACTCTTTAACTGTTAAGGTTTTTGAAAATTTTATTTTTTACACGCCTTTTTCCTCTAATCCAAATTACTTACTTAAGTGAATAGATTTTATTTTATATATTTTTGGATATTCTTATCAACATTTTCAATACGTCACAGGGCCATAGTTAGGAATTGTATACGAGGAACATTCAGTTCCATAGATAGGAATTTTATAGAGGATATCATTATAGAAAATTACATTGAGTTAAACATCAAAATTGTGAGACTAAAATGTTATATTTTCATGATAGCACTAAGTCAATTTTCAAATATTCAAAAACTCTTCTGCTTTTGTAACAGACAATTTATGGTACACAAAGCTTGCATGTTCATTAAATGTCTGTAATATTTCCAAATGACATATTTTGAAAATAAAATAGGTAATTTAAAGTACTATTCTAAACTAACTTCTTTACTTCTTTCGTATTTTTCCAATTTGTAAAAGCTCTTTATACTGTATAATAGTAAATTATTTTAACTAATTTATGTATCTAAATCAAAATTCGAATAAGTATAGTTTTAAATTTGATTAATTTTGTCAAAATTTGAAATTTAGATGCTTATAAAAAAAAATTATGACTGGATTTTTAATATTTTTCAAATATCATTGTAACAATATATTATGAGTCTTTTATTAAATTGTCAAGCTTGTATACCAACAAATACAATTTTAGTGACTTTCGTAAAAAAAAAAGAAAATGGAAACTGAAAATATTGTTGTAAATAATTATGTAGTAGGTACCTACGAAAAGCATTCTACAAAAAATCTTATGTTATTCTAGAAAAAATAGTCTCGGGGGAGGGTATAATTTCCATAATTCCGCCACTGAAAGATTCTTGCGACATACGGTAAACATTTTTGAATTTTCCAGGATACATAGCTAGTTCTTTTGTAACCGAAAATTTAAAAAGTGTATTAGCATTATTTTTAATGAATGGATGAACCACCAATATTTTCGTTTTTTTTTTTTATTATTTTGATTCATGTTACTTACTATTATAATAACATTAACATCTCTTCATCGAAACTTGAGATAGTTACAAACTTACAATTTAAAGTACCTACCTATAAAATAATATAAAAATCCTAATATACCTATTTTAATTGAAATCGATTAATGATAACGCCGCACATCCTTGGTATGTTTTGGAGCGTTTTTGCTGCGCCGATGCAGTGCAAGTCCGCGCGCTCCTAGACCGCGCACCGCAACCACACGAGTGCTTAACATACCATTTTGTACGCTCAGCAGATCACGTTTAGCTCTATTAGTTAAAAAATTGGCAATGTAATTATAATTATGCTTATTATTATATTTTTAATTTTAAAGCGAATTATGTGTATTTTAGGATGTACAACCAGTTTAAAATTTTAAAATAAACATAAATCCGATTGCAAACGATCAATTATTTCAACCAAAATGTACCAATCTTTTGTCAATCATACAGACGGAACTGGTAACACGATTAAAACTGTCCGTTTGCAATCCCTTTAAAATGTAATAAATGTACCCTATTGGATTTCCTAGATAATAATCTTAGCTTTAAATTTTATAAGAAGTCAATTCACTCTTATTTTTTAAACTAACGGAGATAAATGTGATTTGCTGAGCGTAAAATTTCCTATGTTATGCATTTGTAAGACAGAGACAAAAAATGTCACTGTAACCCCTTGATTTATGTTTCTATATATTTCCACATTCCACTTGCTAATTTAATTTAATTTAATAACAAACCATGAAGTTACAAAATTGTTTAACATTTATGCTATTTTTAGACATTATTTTTTCTCTTTTGGCGGGAGTTATTAATTTTGTTGCTTTCTTATTACCACAATATAGTTGCCAATAAAGTTTCAATTACCTACTAGCGACGGTTGGGTAGTTTGCAGTAAGCCGCTAGGCCGTAAATAAAAAACACGGATAGGTACTTAAAATCGGTGCGTTTCTCGCTGGACTACAAGCAGATCGGGGTTTCTTCGATTCCGACAGACCTTTTTATACTTGGGTATAAGGTTTATCGATTCCGCCAGCATCGATGCCTCCAGTGCAGGTAGTCTAAAAACGACCTATCGATTCCGCCAGGGAAAAAATAATCTTCCCGAACATTTTAGTTTTATTTTACTTACATAGTTATATTATAAATATTATATGAAATACCTGTATAAAAACGTCACACCCAAACATTTTTTTATTTATACACGTCTTAAACACAATGATCCAAATAGATACTTACATTATTCTCAGGTCAACTCACAAAACAAAAATTAGTAAGAACACAAAATATATTCATCAAAAAAAAAAAATCGAAGATTTATTAAAAGATTATGAGGCTAAAAAAATTAACCGCTCACATTTCATTAGTTTGGCATCATCCCATTATAAAAAATAACGTTGTAAAACTTAAAACTATATTTGACTAAATTAATTTATAATAAAATTAAATATTGACTTATTTTGTAGATACCTATACCTATATTATTATTATTGTAACATTTTATTTATTTAACTATATTATATTGTTTAAAATAATATTAATTCACATTGCCTTTGTTTGGCATCCATCATACTATAAAAATATTGTATAACTTAAAACTATATTTGACTAAATTAATTTATATTTAAATTGATTATTGAATTATTTTGTTGATACCTATATTATTATTATTGTAACATTTTATTTATTTAACTATATTGTATTATTTTATATAATATTAATTCACATTGCCTTAGTTTGGCATCCATCATACTATTATTTTATATTGATTGTTAATTTATTTTTAATATTTAATAGAATTATTGTATTATTTTATGTATAGGTATATATATTATATAATGTATTGTATTAATTATTGTACTGATTATTAATTTATTTTAATATTTAAATGAATTATTGTATTATTTTATATATATATATTGTATTGTATTATTTTATAAATATATTGTATTGTATTAATTATTATACTGATTATTAATTTATTTTTAATATTTAAATGAATCATTGAATTATTTTTTAGATATATTATTATTATTATAACAGGTTGACAGCAGCAGTTGCCAGATCGAGGTAAACATTGGTAGGTGGCGGAATCGATAGGTTGTTTTTAGACTACCTGAACTGGCGGAGTCGATACTGGCGGAATCGATGCTACATTGGCGGAATCGATAGGTTCCCAAGCAGATCATCATCCCTATTAGTCTATTAACTCAACTCATTCTTAAAGAATATGTACCTAGATACTATGTTCTGTTATTAATTTTCTCTTGGTTTTCGGTCGATTATAATTATTGTCAAACATCTAACTGATTATGGAATAATTTAAAGACTTATTAATTTAATTTGATATTATGTTTATTAGTTCATTATTTATAAGTAGGTAGGTACAACTACCTTCTTTTACCAAAAGTACTGTTGTTTTATTTTTACTAGGTCAATAATTTGTTGTTATAATTGTATTTTTTATAGTTTTATACATTATTATGTTCACAGTTTATTATATGTATTAATTTTTTTAATATAAAGACTCATTTAAATGTGTCTTACATCGATTCATATGTATCCCTACTATGGGGCACATATATGATTAAAAAATTACTTGTGTTTAACATTTATTAATAAATTAGTATTTGGTAATATAGGGTTTAAATAATTACAGTGTTATTAAAATAATATGAGAATCTAACAGAAACATTCAAGTTCAAATTAACTAAACAAATTTAAAAAAAAAAATTTAGCTTTTATTCAAATCTGCTCCACTTCGCCCAAAGTGAATATATTATAATATTTTATTATAAATAAGTAAACATTACGTACAGTCGAAAACAAAACAATTTTTCTTTCTCTTTAGAAGCATAGCTTCTGCCGCGGGTCCCTTGACTCACACAGGTTAATACATTTTTCCTGATTAACCGACAGCAGAGGAAGGTTTGTGAGAACAATACTACTTCTACCTATTTAATCTAATACATGAATAGCTTATACTTTATGTGAAATTAATTAATCAACTATTCTTCTAATTAATTAATTTAATATGTACTTCTTTAATCATATTTTTAAACTACCCAAGTATTATTCAAATAAATGTACGGTGAATTAAAAATACTATTTAAATATAATTTTAAAAAGTATTCTTTACAAGACAAAATTACCAAGTATAAATACATAAATTATTAGTTGTTTCATGTATTTATATGTCATATTACTTAGTTAATCAAATCCAACCTTTTAGATTTTAAATGCATTTATATGCAAAATTAAATTTAAAAACCAGCCTTGTGAAAGCATGAAACGTATTTGTATCATACTTTACTATTTTTGTGATTGTGCAAAACTAATATGCAAATGCTACAAAGCCTCTGCTCTAGTTATAACTAATATGATTCAAAGGTTTAAATTTAAACAGTAACAACTCTTTAACACAAAATATAAATTATTTTAATAATTCACAGTTAAAATAGTATACAGTACAAAATATAAATTATTTTAATAATTCACAGTTAAAATAGTATACAGTACAAAATATAAATTATTTATATTAATATTATGATCAAAATCTATATTACTTATTCTAAATAATTACTAATTAGTAATTAAAATAAATTTAAAAAAAAGTGAGTGTTTCCATTAATAAATAATATAAATATAACTTTTTGGCATATAAAATTAATAGTTTAAATTTAGTCTTAGAAATTTGGTTGTGCCAGTAAAATAAACCCTCATCACATATCTACTGTTATGTGTATATATTATTTACTCAATCACTTTAATTGGTTCTGATACTCCAATACCAGTCTAGCCAATTGTCCTTTGGAACCAGCATTTCGATTTCTAGATCTTACACAGTTGCCATACAACGCAGCGCTTGTATGATCTACAATGTTCCCTTCATATAATTCACAATGTCTCTGTTTATGACGCAAACGTAAACCAGATTCTACTGCTCTGAATATATGACACTCACTATACGCCACAAACATAGAATAAACGGAAGGGTTAGTCATATTGACTACTTTCAAAGAATGACTGGTTGATTCTGTGACCAAATGATGTATATCGCGGTCAGCTCGAATTATAGGAATTAATGATTCTGTACGTTTCCTGGCTAAATATTGTAATCAATAAGTTAATTACTGCTTTCATATTATAGAACTTTATAGAAACTCAAATACATTATTATACTCACTGACAACATAGTCTTTTGCGTAAAATGATAAATGATCATAGTCGAACGGATCAAAATGGCCATAATACTTGTTTACATCTAGAGTTGCTTGTCTTGGATATGTCATGAGATTAGGATCATATTCAGAAAATGGCAAAGCACTAAATATCTGCCACTCCATTATAGTATTCATTCTTACCTAAAAAAGATATTATACAATAATTTTAAGATTAAAATTATTTTATTATAGGAACATGATTATTCCTCAATACAGTACTCACTCTATTTAAATAGTCTTGACGAATTTCCATTTTCGGTCTAGCTAACATCATTAGAGCATCCGGAGGAAACTTTCTGATTGCTAAATCGACGATCGCGAAATCCAATAATGCATCTCTTAGAGCTAACAATTTTGTATTTGGTATTCTGACTGATAACCATGCAACTTTAGTGCCATCTTTTTTATGTGCATTACTCAATGATGTTGCCTCATCTTTCAACTGTTTAAACACATCATCAACTGCACCTTTGCCTGGGGCATTTGCATCATACAACAAAACCTAAACATTCAAAAGCATGATTAACAAACATTATGTAGTTTGTCTAAGTTAAGTTGCTTATTAAATACCACACTAACCAACATGAGCATTGTCTTTTCCTTTTTATCAATACAAACTTGTTTATATTGTCGTAGAAAGCGAAAGGCGTCCTCTCTTTCATTTGTACGCACAGGTAAAAGAATATGCACACGAGTATTTTCAGTTACATAAGGAACTGATAACATTTCAACTTTACCAAGCAACTTACTGACTTCCACTCTGAAAAATCAATTAACTATAATGGCTGTTAAAAATATATATTAATTAATACACTGTAGTAATGTTACTTGAGTTTTATATACTAAAAAAGACAATTTATTGTTTAAAATAATGATGATTACATTTTTACTAGGTAATAAAAATATCATAACTAAACGGAATTCGTTCGAAGGTTCTTACCGTTACTCTCATCTATGATTCAATCATTCTCGACGGTTTTCCCCCATGTTTACTAAGTCCACAAACAACCTTTATATGATATATACTTTGATGCACTAACTCTCATCCCAGACGTGATGGTGTCATCCTCCTTCCTGGGCTACACTCCTAATGATTTACGACTTATGCCCCCAAGCATAATTAACAATTTATTCACAGTTTATTTCTGAAAACTTTAATTTGAGTACCTTGGTATTCACGGATGGGTCAGTCACACAAGCAGGAGCGGCCTTTGCTTTCTATTTCCCAGAATTACATATACAGTCATCCTCCAACCTGTCTGCTTTTGTCTCTTCATTCACGGCTGAATCATGGGCTATCCTAGAAGCTCTCACATGCATAAGTTTTCTCCCTTGCGGAGATTTCCTTATTGTCTCTGATTCTCAAGCTAGTATTTTAGCAATCGCTAGCAACCCCTTCCTGTCTAAGTGCTCCCCCATAATTTTAAAAATCCGAGCATTACTACTATCCCTCAAAATCAGGTCATTCTCCATTTCCTTCCTATGGGCTCCAGGGCATATAGGCATAAATGGCAATGAACACGTCGATTCATTAGCTGGCTCCACCACCAACCAGTCTTACTCGAGCCCACTGTGCAGGTGTCCCTTTACAGATTTAGTCACTAGACATCGCACATCCATACAGGAGCTATGGAAACTGGAATGGAATTCCCTTCCAGAGTCCTATGCTTTTGGTTATAGGTCATTATTTAAAAACATCCCTAATCATCCATGGTTTCAATCCCTAAAGTTGAGCCGCGCTGCCATTATTAAATTCACCAGATTACGCACGGGCCACAGCCTTCTACCACACCACTCGTTTAAATTGGGAAACAACAGTATTACGTATTATCCCTTACCCAACTGTGGTGGAGAATACTGTGACTTGCATCACCTTCTCATAAATTGTCCATCTCTATCTATCCAAAGATCTCAGCTAAAGATTCTCTTTTCCACCTCCGGTATAAATTTTTCCCTTATCGACGCGCTCTCAACCGACAATGTTAATATAATCAATCATACGATAAAGTTTATTCTACAATCAGACCTCCGAATTTAAGTGTGTGAGCTTTACCAATTTTTATTATTTCAGATACATGTACATAATTGTCGAGATATTATAATTATATGTTAAAATCTACTTAATAATAAAAAAAAAAAAAAATATCATACCGTTTTTGTATTAATCTATTTCCAACAATATCTTTGAAAGTCAAATCTAAAATATAATCTAATCCTCTTGAAGGATCAAATCGTTTGTAACCATTAACCAAACGATCAAATTTCAAATTGTTTGAATATTTTGATTCCAAATATTCAATGCTAGTATTTAATACGTTCTGCAAAAATAATAATTTCATGTTAAAAATGTTAGTTGGTTTAATTTTTTTTTAACTGCATAGTTGTAATTAATTCCTTACATGTATATCAGCATTTTCAGCTTCATTTAATGGTCTTATATTGCTTATTCTAGAGTCCAAATATAAATGTGTTTCAGTAAAATGTTCCCATTTCAATACATCAAAACGAGTAGATGGAGTACTTCCAGACTGACTTCCAACTGGCCAAGATACCTTTCTAAAACTCGGTGGCTCTAAACTTGACTCAGCCACAATAGAACGTCTCAATGCATCAATTTCCATGTTCGATTTTTCTAAATTCATTTTACAAAATGCTAAATGAGTCTTATACATTGTTTCAGCATTTGGCATTGGATAAACAGTCAAAGCACGATTAAAACTTTCTAGTTGTTGTGGTTGGTTGAGTAAATTAATAAGATCTTTGGCTTCCCACAGATGATAGCTGCTTATAGATTGCCCCTAAATAAACAAATTAAACTTTTAAACTGTGTATTTTGAAATAAATAATTTTAATATTAGTCACTTGAATAGATGTCTGACATGGAAGATTAACTGAATGTAATACACATCGACCAAAATTATCATCATCTGAAGTAGAGAAAGCATTGCGTACACACCAATCAACATTTGGAATCATTTTACGAATAACTGAGTTGCTTAAAAGTATTCCGGCGTCTGAAATGTTTTTATTTAATATACAATTATAATTTGTTGAACACATTTTATGTTACTAATTTCTTACCTAATGAACAATAGTTGGTACCAATTACAGTTCCACTAGCATACACATCTTCACTAACACTAACTCTTTTAACCAAGTTCATGAGCTTGTTTGCATTCAAGTATGTACTATCCTTTATCAACATGAAAAACTCATATTCGTCCAAGTAGTTGTCAGCAATATATTTTACCATATGAAATGGTTTCAATACATTTCTACTGTCAGTGAAACCAACTATACCGGGTATTTTCATTAGCGTTACATTTAGCTTATGTCCACCTGCCGCATCAACGAAAAAAATTGTCTTGTCCACCCAATGTGTAACAGTCTTGTTGACAGCAACTGCCAGACCATCTACAGATGCTTGATTGGCCAAAATTCCAACAAATAGTTTCTCTCGAATTCCAAGCTCTGTTGAGTAATATCTCGGACGTAACAAAGTTTGTGGAATTTTTTGTGCTCGCTGTGGTTTGCCGGCCAAATTTATATGAGGTTCGTATTCATCATTGAAAATAATTGAGTTTGAATCACTGTCAATAGTTGATATAGAAAATAGGCAACCAGTTTCTAATAATGGGCCAACAATAAGACTAAAAAGTAGCCCAATTGTGACACCAATTATTAAATAAAAGTTTTGACGCAAACGTGCTGATGAACACAGCATATTGGTTCTAAAAATATAATTATTAATGCATTTAAATATAATAAATAAATGACAAATTAAATATAACAGACAGTGGATAATGAATATACCTACAGATTTAAAACGAGATAAAACATTGAAAAATATAAATTTAATTGTTGGCTTATCTCTTCAGGTACACCATTTTATCTAGGCCACATTTATTTTTATTTTATTTTTTATGATAATATTGATAAAAATTGAAATGTTCGTCCCTATTTTTATAAAACAAAATATATCAAAATCTAAATTTCAACAGACTTAGAAGTAAGAATGTCATTAATTTTTAAATAAAAAAAAAAATTAGAAAATTAATTAATGGCGTACATGTTATATCAAATATCAATAATTAATAACACAGTTGGTTAGATCTCAGATATTGGGTGGTGCAGTTAAATAAAGGACAAACCACAAACTAGCTCTGCATGCACAAATATCTTATTTTTTGAGTTTAATATAGAAAAACATTGGCACAAACAATTATTATTAATAACAGAACATCCGAACTACCTATCTCGCGATCTAAGGTTAAGTTGCACACTTGCACCTGTAGATCATCGTTATTCGTTACATATTACCAACAACACACTGTTGCATTACAAAATCAAAATGCAAGTAATCATTTACGACTTTGAATCTAATAATGCACAACACTAGCTTGTGTTTATACTTTATATTATAGGTATTAGGTACCGCTTTATATTCGACACTTGAACTTGACCTCGAGCAGGAATCAAGATTTAGTTTATTTGAAATATAAATTACCAGTAGTCAGTACTCAGCAGCAATATTGCAATCACATTCCCCTTAGCAATTTATTTTAGTCATAACTCATAAGTATTATAATAGGTATCTAAGTATCGGTGTTTTACATTGTTTAATCTTTTTACTTTTGTCTATGCCGCAACTATCGCTGTCTGCACTCAGCTAAGCCCTAACTCTTAAGTGCCAGACTTGGGTATAGTATTCACTATTCCGTATACTTTTTTTGAAAGTACGGAATTCGGAATACTTTTTTTCTGATATAGGTATACTCCGATACTCGTATATATTACTAATTATTACTTATTAACTATATTAATTTGAATATAATTTAGAACTAATAGATTATAGATAGCCATAGCCAGATATGCGTGTATTATCGAGATTATAATTATGTTAATTTATAAATACAGAATTGAAAAAATTATATTTTTGCTATTGAAATCTAAATCTAATTATAAAAGTATTCGGAATATGTATTTGAAATACTTTTAAAAAAGTATTTTACCCAAGTCTGGACTAAGTGCTCCTAAAGTCCTAACTAACCGGAGTCAGTAGACAGTAGTCGCCGTGGCGGGTCGGCGAAAACCGCCGACACGGAGTGGCTGACAATGACATTAGACAGAAATACTGAGTAGTGAGTACCGACGTTATAAATAAAATTTATTCTGTGCTAACATCATAAATTAATCACAGAATAACATATTTGAGGCCGAAGCCCGAAGCACAGATATCTATATATTATACTAAAAATCCGACTCTCAAAATAAAATTATAATAATACCTACCTATTATACGTCTTAATTAGATTTACATAAAATTATTATTTCAGGATTCAGATTTTAAGTGAAGGGATCTATTATTTTTACAATATTAATAAAAAAAAATAATGTATTTACCAACGTGTGTACTATATACGTTTACAGCTAGTAGCTAGATAATTATTAAGGTCCAACAATTATTATTGATCTATACGACTATACCAGATACCTCACTTTAGAATTTAGATCAAAAATTGAGAAATCGCTTGGTAGATTGCTTTATTTCGATGTTTTTGGACAAACAAGATTAAGCTCGACTGTTAAAAAATTTAATTTGGACTAAAAATATCAAATTTTTCGAATCATGAAATGTATTTTAATTATTTAGTCTTAACTCAAGAAAAAAATCCTCAAGAGATTTGACATTTTAACACTTATCATTTTATCAACAATTGTCTATATATATTGTAAATACGCTATACGTACATAAAACAAATAAAGAACTGTGGTGAAACACTGAAACCTTTGATAATAGAAAATTTTTTTTAGATTTTAATGTATGGTTCAAATTTTGATTGAATCCGACTTCAGGTGTTTAGTTCGGTAATTCTGTTCAATAATTTTAATATCATAGACATATTTATTTGTCTATACTAATATGGAAAAATTCTTAATTGACCTTATGAGACAGAAGTACAATTACAAATTACACCATGATTTTATTTATTATATTCAGTTTAGTCAGTTTCGATCTAGGACTTAGGAGGCCATCTATTTTGCTACCACATTGGGAGTGGGCTGACCGTGCAACGGGTGTACCCATTACTATATATAGAGAGAGAGAGAATAGTTAAACAAAAATAATACTATTTTTAGAAAAAGGTAGCATACACTTTAGGTGGTAATCGAAAAAAAACCCTTAAAAAATCTAACTGAAAAAATCCCAAAAAAATATATACACAACGGAAAAAAAAAGGTCACGGAAATAAGTCTATACGACCTAGTCATACTACATTTTTTACTTGTGAGTATATTTTTTTAAACTTATATTTATTACATTTATATATTACACCAAAAAAACGTCAACAATTAAAAGTAATATTAACATAATATTTAAATTTTTTTCCGTGGATATTTTTCTTTGGGCTTATTTTCTATGGTGATTTTTTTCCGCGATTTATCATCATATTACACCAGTCATAGGTATTAAATCTCTTTTTAGTTTCTAACAACATAAGGTCTTTTATATACTTATCTATGATTAGGTCTTGGCTACCTATAATAACTAGTTGGTGTGAGATGTGCAGTGCATATGTCTGTGGTTAAACTTTAACAGTTGAACTTTATAAGTACAGCTATAAGGTACAGTATATACTACCTTGGCTTATTCATGGCTAAATACACCACTACACCAGTACGTTTTCAACTTGGTTCTGTGCATGTTTTACCTTTTATGTCACACTGATAAGACAGGTTCACGTCATAATTCAACATGTTACATCCAAGTTGAGAACATACCATTAAAATATTTAGTTATAACTTATAATCCTTAGTATAACCGACTTTATCACTTAACAATTAACTACTTTATCGTAAACGGGCATAATGCATACAAAGTAGAAACATACAGTGCCTCGAAATTTCGCATCTGACCCACAGACCACAGTTGTCGTTCTCACTTCTCAGTCGCTCAAGTTCTCTACTTGATACTTCTTAGTTCTCTGATTATTAATCTCATATCTCATCCGAAAAACTAACCTCAAACGTTCCAGTAATCGTCAATCGAGTCCGAATCATGAGAGAAAAAACGTCGTGGCACGGCGAAAGCCAAATAGATCTACAATTCTACACGTAATCAAAATATCACGTTGCTTCGACGAAAAGATAAACATAGTAATTAATAAGTCATAGACCGTAGTACCACAGAATAGAGAAATGTGGTACCCTACATTCCTAAGATCCGATAATCCAGGAAAAGTAATCACCGTCCGGCGGCGTCCACCGATCGCCGGCATCGCATCATTTAATCATTATAAAAATTAAATAATAAATATCTATATTATTATTTATTATACCGATATGTTCCGCTTGGAAGAAGAGAAAAAATGTCTCATGGAAGGAACGCGCCAGGTCGTTGCTGTTAACGCCTTGTCAACGGAAAACTTGTTTTTGTTGTTTTCGTTTAGCAGACCGCAGTGTTTATCCGCGTCTGCGTTGCGGACGGAGCTTTCGAAGTTCGCTTTCGTTATTCTGTTTTCGTTTCAACGTACCGTTCAAATCCGCCGCAGTTTCGGTTCGCAGACCTGATTGATTTGAAAACAAATTTCCGGAAACCCGGGAGTCTCGTTGACTGCTTATCCTAGAAAACCCGAGACTTATCAGGGTCCCGTCGTTGACCCACAAAATAGAAATAGAGTTTGGACTTGGGAATAATCTGACCACGATGACGTCGTCGATCCCGGGTAAGTTTTGTAGCGGTGCAAACGCAATAACCACGTCTAATCTGTGTTTCCGTTGTCCAGATAGACGCGAACGCGTCGCACTGACGGCGCTATGATGATCACGGCGACGACAACATGCAGTCCTGTAAGCCGAAGGTCACCGACCTAAATCCACATCTACTATGCGTTCTGTGCGGTGGATACTTCGTGGACGCCACGACGGTGATCGAATGTCTACACTCCTGTAAGTAATTTAAACGTCCAGATATTGCCAAATAGTTGAAATTATATTGTGTCAGTGATACACATTTGTTTTGTTGTTATGTACCTGATTAGTTATCACTTATCACCAACATTCACCCATTTGTATTCATTCCCTGTTGAAATTGAAAGGTACATTAGGATAATATTGAGTGACCTTATGTTCAGTGCAAGGGCGAACTGGCTAGGATGGCCGGTGAGCAATCCCTGCCTGGACTTGTCAAAAATTTGGGCCGATAACTTATAAAATATGTTTTATTAAATGGGGCCAAATTTTCTGTTTCTCGTTGGCCAATTTTTATTCCTAGTTCTCCCCTAATTCAGTGCCCCTTATCTTCTTAATAAATAAATAGAAATTAAATTATATGGTGACATCGTTATATTATTTACTACTTGATATTTTATGAATATACGTTGGAACCTCAGTATCTCTTAACTCCAGTATCTAAAAGTTTCTGTGTATCAAATTTTTTTTTCAGTCCTGGTTCCTTCACATATTACTTTTAATTACCTCGATAACTCAAAGTTTTGATGTCAAATTTTTTTGTTTGGTCCCTTAATGTTCTACTGTACTATAAACCTTTTACTTATACCTGTTGAATTTTCATTAATATACCTAGGTATGGTTGTTCCTTGTTGTTTTCTCTATAATAAGTATTTAAAAATTTTTTTTCTTATTATAATATGCATTTTTTTTTAATTCAAATCTGTTATAAATGGTTTTCACTGCATTATTTTAGTTTGTCGAAGTTGTATTGTCAAGTATCTTGAACGCAACAAATATTGTCCAATATGCGATGTATTGGTCCACAAATCAAAACCTTTATCCAATATCCGGCCAGACTACACCCTGCAAAATATTGTTTACAAACTTGTTCCACATTTATTTCAAAGTGAGTGACAACATTTTACCAACTAAAACATTTATATTAAACTAATTTAAAATTGTATTATTATTTTAATAGAGGAAATGGTAATGAGAAGAGACTTTTACAATCGAAACAAAGTGTATTTACCTAGGGACCCAATGAGCCGTGGTGTTGTACCTGATGACTATCATATATTTGCTGCCAGTGATGCAATCAGTATATGTCTTTATTATGAATGCGAAAAAATTGACAAAAAAGTAAAAATATATTCAAATTTGTCTCAAAAAATTATTGAAATACAATTTTTTTTTACAGAATATACAAGAAAAACACAAACGATATCTATGGTGTCCAGCATCATTGACAGTTATAAATTTGAAAAAATTAGTTTACATTAAATATGAATTAATACCAACTGATCATCATGTAGAGTTTTTCTACCAAAATTATTTACTAGATGATCACTTAACCTTAATGGACGTTGTTTACATGTTTGATTGGAAAAGGGTAAATATTAACCTTAATTAATAATAGGTATATATTTTAAATTGTTATTATATAATATTTTTCATTTTAGAAAGATCCACTTACAATCACTTATCGAATTCTTAAAATTGTTATTGAACCTCTTTTAAATGATGACACGGCAAAAGAAGAGAGTATAATTGAGTCTAAAAAAGATGATGAAAAGTCTGAAGAAAAACCAAATGATTTGCTTCAAAATGTAATCAACACAGAAATACGCATTGAAGAACTACCAAAAATTGATGAAAACCTACTGGTCGTTGAAAAAATTCCAGATTCCAAAGAAGTACAATTGGAAATAAGTGAAAATGGTATCATGAAAGTTACAAATATTCATCAGAGTAGAGAAACTATACAAGCTAATGTCACTATAGAACCAACTGATAAAGTTAAAAATGAAAATCCATCTAAACCTGGTGTTATAAATGAAGATAAAGACGATGATAAGAAAAAAACTTTAAAAGTATATCCTGGGTCAAAGATAAAAAAAACCAAACCAAAATTAGACACTATTGTTGAAAAAATTAAAAAACAAGGAACTAAATATAAAACATTAACATCTCCGACAAAACACTGGAATCCAAGTATATCAAAAACTTCAGTTTTAGCCAAAAAGAAAGAAATAAACGGAGTTGATAAAAAGTGTCAAAAATTTTTCAAATCAAGAGATGATAAAAAAGATGAAGATAAAGCTGAAGACAGTTTGAAGAGATTAGCTGAAGTGCCTTTAATGAAAATTAATCCTCAAACATTATGTCCAATTTTGCCTTCTTCTCCAGCTAAGAAACCCAAAAAACCTGTTCCTAAAAAAAATACATTAGCTCATTCTTTGGCTCTACTACCTGTTCGACCAACCAATCATAATCCATTTACAAATCCATTGAATCCGTTCATGTATGGAACATTTCCAAATAATTCAAATGGAGATCCAGGAGATACAAATGATTTTCTTAAAGCCATGTCTGAGCTATGTCCGCCATCATCAGCTTATCACAATTCTTTACCACCGTCTGTCAGTGTACTTTTCAACCCCCTATACACTCATCACAGACAATGTCAGGCTAAGAAGACTTCTGTAGCTGTAGCTCAATCACCCGACATACTAAAATTACCTGCCAATAAAAATGGAGAAAAATCTGATCAGATAGAAGATAAAACCAATGACAAAGGTAACGATAAAGACGAGTGTACTAATAATAATAATGGTGAAGAGAAAATGGAAGTGGAGAAAGAAAAAGAAAAAGAAAAGGGAAAAACTTAAAACAATGACTTTTTGATAAATCAAACTACAAAATTGAAACCTTTTACTACTAAAATCTTTAAATTATGGTAAGTCAAGTAGAGGATTGCAAATACTTTAAGATTTTTGAAAGTGTTATATCTACAAAATTCCTAATGAAAATATCTTTGATTTAATCTCTTCTACACTCTGTATACCTACACTTAACATGGTGTTTCTAAAGATATTTTTTCACTTTGAGTTTTGAGATAACAAGATTTCAATGTGATATGATTGTTTTTCTACCATTTGCTTGTATGATTAATGGTATCATATTATATCAATGACAACATTATCTGAAACACAATATGCAAATTTATCTGTGGTTATATCACTTAATAACATAGTTGACCATTTTGTTGGAAATGTGATTGACTAGTTTTTGATACTTGTGTTAGAAAAACTTCTTTTGAAACATTTATTAACTGTTTTTATACCATGTGTTTTCATTTATTTAGAGTAATTATAATGTTTTGATCGTTTTATTTTAGATAAGTCAATTCAATTTTACTTTTGGCTTGAGACATTTAAATATGCCAAAACTAACCTTCATTTATCCTCCACATTATTTACATAAATAAAGTTCTTACGGCAATTATTATCCACAATCTGATGCTACTTCTGTAACATAAATACATCTAATAATTTTTTGATTAAAAATATTGTTTAAATTGTTTGTCTCCTAATAAAAATAAAAGATCACATAATAAGTGGAAGCATAGGGTATAAGAAAATATATTTAGTTTTTCACTTTTCTAAAAATGGTCACCCTACTTAAAATGACGTAACATGGGTATTTGTTATCTCCGTCTTACAAGTGTGTAACATAACAAACAATACGCTATATTACATACAAAAAACTTGCTTGAAAAATTAAGGATTAGTAAAAAAAAACCCATATCAACACAGATAATGTTCTTCTTACCAACAAGGTTCATAATAGATCGATTCACTAAAATTGTTGTACAAACGAAGCTAAACGTGATCTGCTGAGCATAAATTTGCTATGTTACGTACTTGCCTCCCCCCTCGTGTTACGTCCTCTTAAACAAGAATCCTATGAATTAGATGTCATTAGATGGCTTTAATATTTATATATAGCCAAATATTAATGTTTTGCGTGTTTTCGAAATCTTATTCATTATTACTCTCAAATTCTAGTCCTAGATTAAGGTGTAAATTTTGTTAAAAAAAAATAACAATTTTTGTATTTGAAGTGCCTTCAGTATTTAATTATTTAAACCTCTATGCTCATGTAACTAAGTGATATATATATATATATATTAGAATCTTGCAGCTCAATATTTTAAAATATATGTGAAAATATACAGGGTAAAAAATGCACTGTGCTTACTATTTCTCGACTAATTCAAGATAACTTTTTGTTTCTCTTACTAACATTTCGATTATATTATTAAATTTATGGAAGAAATATAATATACTCTATTCAGGATCAGATTGAACTGATCTTGCCCGTGTAAAATTCCTATTGTGTGACTTTGGTCTACCCTAATATTTTTTACTGGACACCGTTTACAAGCATGATAATAAATTTATGGATGTAATCAGTTTTTGTTTGCCCTAGAGTACCTTATGTTGTAAATTTTCACAATTTGGGTTAATAAACAAACGTGTATGCTCCAATGGTTAGCTTGGTAGAATGTTGTCACTCATGAAGTTTGAAGTTTGCACCCATGAAGTTTTTTTTTTACTATTATCAGCTTCATTTGTACAAATATTAATATACAAATTACAAAAGGGTAAATAAAAAGTAATTTGCAACATATTTTGATGACAATTTCACAATCATTCGTTTTTTTCTATATCTACAAACATTTTATAATTTCACTAACTCTTTATATTGCTAAACACGTTTAAAATGTAATTTTGATAACTAATTTATTGAACATTTGGTACCAAAAACTATTAAATCTTACAATTCTAAAATGTATACATATTATACTTTAAAATAATTTAACTCTTGTCGCCAATAGTTAGTACAGTGCACATATTATTAAGTATATAACATTTAGTATTTTATTTATAATACAATATAAAATTTACTTTAAATTTGTATTTTTATAATATATACAATTTATTTTAAATTTGTATTTTTATAAAAGATTTTACTATTTGTTGATCGCATTAAAAAGAAAAACCATTATATGTATACTACATTCTAGTATTCTTAATTATTGACGGACCACTTTTTATGATATTATTGTTAATTCTGTATTTTTTTTCTAAAGATTGACTTTGAAAAATATTAAGGTGGTGTTTAAATATATAAGATAAATAAACCTCAATGTTGTGTATAATTTACAATTTAAATTTAATGTTATTGAATATTTTTTTATTAATTATTAGAAATACCAAATAATATATTTTTAATAGGTACTCTGTCTAAAACTACTTGAATGTATAAAATGTCTCAAACGTATAGTATATCCTTATGTTAAGAAAATATCAAAACGTTTAAAGGCAGTTTAATTTTTGTAAAAATTATTGACATACCTACCTGAATTTTAATTATGATTTAATTTACCAAATCAGACCCAAAACATAAACAATATTTATAAGTTTTAAGTAACAAGTCGTCTCAAGTAAATTTTATTGTAAACACATATATTTTATGAATTTTATTTTTATTTTTTTTTTTTGTACAATTATTGAATTGTTAAACTATGTAATTTATTTTAAAGTAATTTATACGCCACAATTATAGTTTTTAATTGTTAAGGATTGAAGAGGTGTAATGAGTTTTATAAATAAAATATTTTTCTGGTTCTTTTTTTAAATATTCAATAAAATCAGTGTTTTGTATATTGTATTTGAATTATTTATGTTCATTCCTTTCTTATTTATTTTATCCAACAAAAAACAATGAATAATTGAACTAGTTAGCAGCTTAAGGTTCCATGCTTAAATATCAACACAATCAGTTTTCTTATTTTTACTTATATTTAATTTAAAGACCTATGCATATAAATTATAACATTACTAGATGTTGTACAGAGTACAAAACAATAATATTTGTTAAATGCAGTCTTTTGAAAAAATATGGATTTTATGTTAGTAATGGTTGTGTCTAGGTTAATTGGTTTGTAGGATTGCTATTTATATAAGTTATATTAGTCTATCCACTTATTAAAAAAAAAATTATTTATTCCTATAATTTGTGTCCATTGAATATTATAACTTATAATATAATTATGTTAGATTTAGGAGGTACCTAAGTGGTTTTAAAGTGGGTATTAAATCTAACTAATTTAATGTAGCTTAATTAAATCCAAATTTAGTAATTAATTAACTGGGTTTCTTTAAATTTTTTTTATTTTTATTTTTTTTGGAGCTATAAGAAAATTTAATGTCATGGTTTAAAATGTGTTAAGCAACAAAATTAGTATTTAATACCTACCCTTTGTAGTTAAAATTTAAGAATGTATAAAATGTTCAAATTTTGTAGCTAAGGTTGAAAATTTATAACAACTTGCGTGGGTAAGTAGGTTATAAAATAACTGTGTTCATATATTTTTAAGATTTTTTAGTTACAGTATGAACTATTTATGAGTACCTTTGTTTTAAATTTATAATCCTTAGCTATAAAAACTGAACATTTTATAATTTATTAATTACGATGATTGATAATTTTCGAGATTTTTAACAATTCTGTCAGAATTCGATCTTTAAATGCTTATAAAAAAATTGTGCCTATGTATTTTTAATATTTTTCAACTGATTTTGTTACAATATATAGCCTTGTATTAAATTTTTACACTTTTTGGCCCAACAGATAAAACTTAATTGATATTTATAGAAAAAAAAACTAAAAAAATTGAAAAATGAACATATCCTTTAACAGCTCAAAAAGAGTCAAAGTATTTTCAAAATTGTATGGTGTATAGGAAATGCTAATATAAACATTCAGTGAAATTTTCATGTATCTATAGTTATTCGTTTATGAATTACAACAAAATAAGGAAATCGCTACATGAGAAATCTATAGTGAATATCCAATGTTGTAAAAATTTGAATTTCAAACGCTCATAAAAATTTAATTTGACTGTCCGGTAGAGATTTTTTTATTGATAAAGGTAGACAAACTTATGAGTAATCTTGTACTACATTATCAAATCTTAGATTTAAAAAGAAAAATTTTTACGAATTCTTAACTCAAAATAATTTACTATTTTTCGTGAATTTTCCATATTTTGTCAAATTTTGAACTTTAAATGCTTATAAAAAAAAACTGTGACTAAGGATTTTTAATGTTTTTCATCTGCCTTTGATAAAATATACTAGGAGCCTCCTATTAAATTTTCAAGCTTTTTAAACCAACAAATAAAATTTTATTGATATTTTTAGAAAAAAATGGAAAATGAAAATGTTCGTAAAGAGCTCTAACTAAATAAGTCAAAATATTTGGAAAATTTTATGGTGTATAGAAAATGCTAATATAAAAATTCAGACAAAATTTCATGTACCTACGGTCATTTGTTTAAGAGTTGCATGAAAAACCAAAATCGAATTTCTCGAAAACAGATTTTCCGTAAAAATTCCCGTTTTTCTTTAATTTTTATGTTGTTTTTCACGTTGCTTGTGAAAACTATTGGGAAATTTAAATTTTGACCTCCCCAATGCACCAACGATATTCACTTTCGAATCGAAAAAGATACTGAAGTTGAAAATCAAAGCATTATTTCGACTACTTATCGTGCACACAGACACAAAAAAAAAAAAAAATATAAATACACACATCATTGTAAAATCAATACATTCATCGTTCCACTCAGAATCTAAAATATTATATTCATGATATTACATCTTTATAGCGCTTAAACATCTTATATTTTTTTTTACTTACCTAGTCATTTTTACAAGTAGTTTACGAAGGATTTTTGTTGTGATACCTACCACTAATTTTTATCGTTAATAAATATTGTGTATTATATAAATATATAATATTAAATACAATAATCTAT